GTAGCTGAGGAACCGGCGGCCCACCTTCACAAGGTGATTCACTGCGAGCCCAAGTGTGCTGTGCTCAACCACGAAGTACCCGCGAATCGTCGCTGAAACGTTCGAGATGCTTCGACATTGTACACTACCGTCTTTCCCCTTGCCCTCCACCCTCCTTTCGTCCTTGTTTCAATCGTGAAACTTCTGACACGAGTCCGTTGAAATTAGGATCACTTAGGATTTTCAGTATGTCGGATGTTTTTGTCTCTGAGAACGAGATTTAATTGCAACTTTCGCCTGCTAACTGCCGAAACGTTGCGTACAACGTACATCTTTAGCAGATGATATATCGAGCAAGCGTGAGAAGAGCCAGAGAATGGTCCATTTTTGGATTAAAAAAAAAAAAGAAAAATAAAAACTGAAATGGAAGTGTGCAGCAAGGTGCGCAAAGTATGGCTGAACAGAGTATACGCTTCAATGAAAATAAACTGATTCGTGCGTATGCGTGAATGTTACTAAAATTAATTTAATTCAATATCAATCATTTCCTTCATCGAAGAAGAAACAACAAAATAAATATCGTGGTTAAAAATGTACTCAGATTCAGAAGACATTGACAGATACATCAGTCTCTAATTTACACACATTACAAAGGACCAACATATCTTTGAGTATCAGAATCTTTACATTTTTTCACATTTTTTTTTTTTTTTTCTTAATTCGTCGTAAAATTTAAATCATCGCCAGTCCAATAATATATATCAGACAGAGAAGAAACAGTTTCGCAACAGAAGGAAGAAAAGCAATGACAACTGGTTCCCGTGTTCGAGAGAGTGATATAAATGAACCTAACAGGGGAGGGGGATGAAATTGAACAGAAACTTTTATATCGATCAGACGAAAACGTTGGGTGAGAGTAGGAAGATGTGTGGTCCCGGTCGCAGGTTTTATCGCTGGCTACATGAATCGCATTCCATCGGCTGCACGCTGGAAGAAGGAAGAAGGAAGATGCTCGAAGAGATGGAGTTAAGGATCGTTACAGGGGAAATTATGGACAGTCACGGAAGTAGGTGAATCGAAAGTGATTGCAGGCTTCGCCAAGTGGCCTATTGGACGGTTGCATCTTCCCGTGCATTTCGGTAGCTTTCCAGCGAGTTTACGTTTTGCACCGCGAATTTTTCTAAAATTCGTAGATCTTTCTCTTCATCCAACGTTATAATTAACGTTCAAACAGTAGGCTTAAACGACCATAATAATTTTTTTGTGACTTTCAATATTGTCAATGACGCACTGAATTAGGAATTCATTAAACTTTTAAAGTACAGCCCACAAATCTTATATTATAATCAATAAACGAGGAAAGAAGATATTTAACATCATGCGCACTGTAGTTTGTTTAAATTTGAGATGCTTTACAATTTCCAATTTTGCGGAGATGCGCAAGAAATTGAAATGATTGTAAATCTCCTTGAAATACAAATTTCACTACCGAACGAAAGAAGCGAGTCCATTTGAAACACAAACAACTTTCGAACAAACGAATTATCCTTCACCTCTTTTCACCGTGGAAAGAAGTAACCCACATCTTTCGTTTCGCGCTTCAACCACAAACGTTGTCCACGACGTACTGCGACCAACTAAAACCAATCTCGAATGTGTCTCTCGAGATCATTTCAATTTCAATTTCAAGAGATGTTCTAAACTCTCGAAATTGAATCTCCCTCCAGCTGTAAGAATGTTTCATCTTCGAGCTTTCTTCATTTTCGACAAGAAACGACTAATTCGAACTTCGTTTTTTTTCTTTTTCCCTTTTGTCCACGCGTTCGAGGGCAATCGAACGGCTGCAATTCATCCTCGTGTTTACAGTTTGATTGTGTAAGTCGCGGCGGTGCAACGCTGCGCTCGACGAAACGAATGTGTTGGCGTCTGAAGCGACGATGCAATGGGAACCGCCCGAGGCGTGTCGGTGCACCCTTGCAAAGGCTCTCAATCGCAAGAATGCAAAGGCCAACCGGTCCGCTCGATTCCGATCAAAATTTTCGGCCGAACGTGCCCGTAAACTTCGTGCCTTTAAAATAGCCTACTTTATTGTGCCACGCGTGAGAAGATTCGAGTTTCACGGAGCGACAGAAACTCGTCTGTTAAAGTCGTTCTGTCCTCATCGAACGAAGCTTTGAAAGTTTGCTCTAAAGTTTTAATTAAGTTCCTTTTCAAGTCCGTCTGGCGTAGGTGATTTTTCTGAATTTTTTTTTCTTTTTTTCATAAAGTTGCGCAATACGACATTCTTCTCGAAGAAAGAAATAAAATTTAAAATTCAATTACTTAATACATTAATACTAATATTAAATACATTGAATACGTTTTACGATCCTTTTTTTCTGGCAAAAGTTTTAAATTTTCGGTAAAAATCGTCAGAAATCTTCGCCAGCGAAATTCGCCAGTAGACTGCGGATTTGTCATGCATTCGACAGAAACTCAGAGAAACAAAAATACACAGAAGAGCGGACGTAATAAACGAAAATAAATATCGTACAATGCTCACTATAATTGAACCGCGGGATTTTTATAAAATATGTTACAACGCGAAAGATATTTATTTGTTACTTAAAATTCTCCGATGAGGTGCTCATTTTACCTCGGCCATTCGAAAAGCAACGTGTTTAACTAATTGTCGAACAAAGCACACGTAACCTCGCCAATCGAAATTATCTCGCGAACGATTATTCCTCTCGCTTGCAGAACCGCGCCGGTCGTTTGAAAACAAAATGTGGAATTTAATGGTATCGATCAGTCTGGCGGTAAACACGCTTACCCGGCGAAAGAATAATCGAGCTTTATCGAAGCGAGGCGGAAGAGGCTGGAAGAATTCGCATAAATTTGCTGCGTGCGCTCGCGTGAAGCAATATTTTTCCGGCGCCCGGCGCGAAAGTCTCGGGCGAACGAAAAAGACAGGGAAAAAAGGGGAGAAAAGGGAGAAAAACGACGAGATGAAACGTCGAGATATATTTCGCCCCGGATCTCAATGAAGCAACGACCAAACGCGACCCTTTCTCCTTTTTTTTTTCATATTTTTCTTCCTCTTCCTTCCTTTTCCCTCTCTCTCTCTCTTCTCCTTCGTTCTTTCACGTTTTCTTCCCTGCTCGAAAGAAGTAATCGGTAATCCCTGCAGCGGCGGAGAGGGCACTAACGAGAATTAATACCGACCGGAGTGTTTGTTTTGTGACTCGGCAGCCGGGCTTTTAAAGATCCGAGTCGCACACGGGAATCAGTTCGCGAGGCCACGTCTGAATAAATTAAATCCTTACCAGGAATTCACTAACGACCTGTACCTCTCCGGGCTACACATCTTTTAATGCATGTTCTATGGACTGCAGTATGCGACGCCGGGCTTTTTCTTTTCGCTGTTTCGTCGTTCGGCTTTTCGAGAGAACGATGTTTTCCACCTCTCTCCGGCCACGTCGAGCAACACTGTCACGATTTTTTACTATTGTACTTAGACCGCGTTTGTATTTTCTACTAACTCTGAAAGAACTCTCGATAATGATTTGTTTCGCCTACTGGATATTACAAGAGCCTTCGATATTTTATAAAATTTTTAAATATTCTACCTGTGCACTTTTCGTAAATGTATGAAAATCCGTGGTCTAATTGCAATATTGGGACTATCATTCTTTTTTATGACGTTTAACTACTGGTAAATACGTTTTTATGGTCGATTTTATCGATCACTGGCAATTTAGAGAATTATTTTGGAAATGTTCTTTCTGTAACGTTCGGACGTACAGGATGTACTGATTGTTTTGCAAATTTTCTTTTTGCGAATAAATGCGGATTTCGACAATCTCGATGCTCGTGAGAATTTTTCATTCGTTCGATCGTTCATTTAGAATGTTTGGAAGAACGTTATGTTTTCGATTAGTCAATTTAATAATGAATTCTATGTATCGATGAAGAGAATTTGAAGACGCAAGAATGCAAATACGCGTACTCTGTGTTACGAATATTAACGCGATGTTATATTTTGCACTACGTTTGTCATTGCACTCCACCTGTGTTATCGTCAATTGCGCCGACGAATGTGCAAACTTCAGCGACCATCCAAGAACACAATCCCTCTTTTTTCTTCCTGAGACGTGATAATTATCAACGTGAGAAACATATCTCCTAAACATATCTCTATTTGCTCTTGGCATGTTTGTTCGTAGCAAAAACAGCCAAAGTTCTTTTTTTTTTTTTTT